AGTTTGTTTCCATTAACTGTGATTTGTATCTGAATACATTGTTCTTAGTTTTTTTCAGTGGCATGCTGGAGACCTCTTGGATTTTGATTAATAAATACAATACACAGTTAAATGTCTTGAGCTTTAAATTTTAGGGAGTAAGAGTATGTTGCATGTGACATTCATTTACTGGGATTATTTTTTTTTTTTTCAGTGTGGCAGGACTAAGTCTCAAAATGCTGAGCTCTATCTGCAAATCCAAACTTCTATTAGTGTAACAAATATGGACCTTATTTTGATGGATTTTGATTTTTAAGTGGCTTGGTTTTGCATGACTACTTTTTATGTGAACTCTTGCTCTATTCAAAGCTCTGGCAACTTTACATTATCTGAAAAAAACGCTCATTTTTAATGTACACTAATTTAAAATATAATTTTTAAAACTGTGCTGATATTGGCTTTTTAATACATGGATAAGCCTTAACATCCATTTTAGTGTGGTTTTATCTGTTAGGTATTAAGTTCCTTTGTATGTAGGCTGGATATTTCAATGATACCACATTGTGCATTTGTTTGACTGATACTTTAAAAAATCTCCATGGCTCTCTGATGAATTCTTAAAGAATGCAGCTCTTCAGATGCTTTATGTAGATGGACTGCAGGATAAATCAAGGCTTTTAAACTTTAGATTTATAAGAACTCAAAGTACTACATTGCACTCTTAAAAAATAAAATACTGTATTTACCCCATACAATGTATAAATAAACATTTTGCTTGAGAGAGCTGAAATGTAACTGGCAAGGACAGGGCATGGAAGAGCTGAATAAATGGCAAGGCTGTTGCTGTTCTTATTCCGTCTTACAGGGAGTTGATGGTTTATGCCTTCACCATACTTACCAGCCTAAACCCCATATTGCCAACTCAAAGAAGTAATAAACCATAGCAAGTGTTTTTCTCAGAGCAGATGTTTAAAGCCTGGCTAGGGTTTGGTGTTATTTTTGGTTTTTTTGTTTGTTTGTTTTGTTTTGTTTTGTTTTTTCTTTTGCACAGAGTGCTTTGAAGGCTCCCATATTATAAAGATAAAATTTGGAGAAGACTTGGGATTTAGTGTATTTGTATTCCAGAGGCAGTTTGACGCGGTGGTGACTGTTGACGTTTTGGTGGAAATTAGAGAGGAAATGTTTTTTTGTGGGTTTTTTTGGTGGTTTTTTTTGTGTTTGTTTGTTTTAGTCTAGGTAAGATGTCACAGCTCCCCTCTTCATTCACATAGCTCTTTAACTGATTGTTGCTTCATGGGACCATCATGGTGCCAATAACTGTGTCCTTCATTCAGAGAAAACAATCAGTTGCTGAAATTAAAAGTGGCTTGAAGATAAAGCACATATATAGTTGCCAACATGCTTTAGCAAACTGAGTATTTTTAACAACATGGGAAAACCAGCATAGCATGGCGATGCCAGTGTTCACTAGGTTGCCATCAGTATGCTTTTGGTCCTACCACATTGGGAATTGCTCATGCACTTAACAGTATTTACCCCAAAGACACCTCCTTTAAGTCAACGTGAAATCATACACAAAATTAAATTAGTTCATGAATTTTTGTGGCTTCATAGCTCAGAAGTAGAGGAAGCTACCAAGTATAAAAATAACCATGTAGCATTGCAGTCCTGCTCCTAGGGAGAGGGCCACCATAGCACTGCATCTACCTACTATTTAGTGCAAAATATATAGGCATTTAACAAAAGAAATATGTATAGGAGCAAAAATCTCTCCAAAACCTAGTCGTTTTTGTCTTGCTTTTCTGTTGAAGGGCCACACGGAGACTGAGTTCCAGATTTGCATTTTACTGACTGATTGTTGCATAAGAAACACGAAAAGTGTGTTTAAGATGCTCTTTAAAAAACTTTCCCCATGACTATCACGTGAAAAGTGAAATTACCTGAAAAGTGAAATTACCTGTCTTGCCTACCTTGTATCTTTGATTGTTATTCAATACAGTAAAAAATACAGTAAAAAAACCAAACTTCTTGTTCCAAGATCCAGAAAGCTGTCTTAAGTTGTAGAGCTATTTAAACATCTCTTACTGCCTCAAGGTAAAACTTGGAGTAATTCTTTCAGATTACTCCAGCATATGGGTAAATCAAAGTTTGAGGTCTTCTGTTGGCACAGAAAAAGAACATATGCTATTCTTACAAACTTCACATACTTACTGGTTGTGGCTTTTATTTCCTACTATGTATATTTTTACATATTTTTCTCCTAAAAGAAAAGTGGACACCATTTTTTAAAAGCTAGCCTTTGGTTTGTTATGCTAATTGCTTTTGACACCTCCAATTATGATGTTAAAACTTCAGTATTTTTAACAAGTGGTCCATGCTTCGAGTCCTTTGTTGGTCAATATTTTTATCTCCCTGGCAGATATCCCTGCTCTCATTTTCTTGAATTTTAGGGTCCAGGGAAAAGAAGTATAAATGTAAATCCCTAATTAGCAACAGAAAGATAATGAACTATTTCTGTTGCTTTCCTGTAACATCTTTATAACATAATATGTATATTAGTATGAGTAATTATTACAAGTATTTCCCTTTATATAGATCCTAGAATATAGAGGAGTGTCTAAAAGGAAGAAATTAAGAGGTAAGAAGGTCTACTATTACTAGATTTAAAGTTTTCTGGGAATAAGTTAGGGCAGAAATTTTCCCTGAGCATTTTATGGCTTCTCTGTTAGAATTAGTGGAAGGTTTTTTTGTTATGTTATTAAAATCTCCAAAATAGTACATAAATCAAATTTATATATGAATTATTTTTAATAGTTGTAATACTACAGGGTGATTCCTGTAAAAATAATTCTAAGACTGCTAAATAAACAATACAGAAAAAAATGACAATGTGAAGTAGTTTATGGGGTTACATAGTGTAAAGGTGATGGTGTAACAATGATGTAACTCGGTGATTTTTCTTTAATTTCTAATTAAAACAGACAAATTGAATGACCGTTTATAAGCATCTTGCATATTTAATAATTTCTGGCTTCCGATTTGCAAAAGTTGTCTCTTATGACATTTAGGAATTAATAGTGTTTTTTAATGTAAATTCCTTTAAGTTACATTAGTATGTTGCTTTCTGAAATCAATCCTTTATTCTTGTCATATGTAAATTCTAATCCTGACTTATTTTTATCTACTTGGTTAGGTTAACATGCTTGTCATGTCTGGTTTTTTGCCATTCTCTATTTCACTATAGTGCTGAACAAAAGCCTTAATTTCTATTCTTGTTTTGATCTTTGTCTTGAATCAGAGAGAAAATGGAAATATTTACATTTTTAAGATTGATACATTTAATAATAAGATTTCTAGCAATACATTTTAAAACATTTAAAAAGTGAAAAAAAGATTCTTTTAGAAGATTTAAAAAGTGAAATCTCTCTGGCTATGCTACCAGGATGCAGCACAAGAGTCTAAAAACTGTTTTGTGTCATGGGAGGTTTGCCTAGTGGAAAATGAGATGTTGATTTTCATGAAAACCAGCGTTTTCCTTGAGCAAGTGTTTCAACTGGGAATTCATGACCAGATTTAGACAGGGATACTGTAGTGCTCAGCTGTGACAGAAGCTGGATACTTTAGCATTTTGGCAATGGTTGAGATACTCGTGCAAGTCTCCCATCCTGTTCAGACTGGATCCTGCGAAGCGCTCTGTTCCCTGTGGCTGAGGGCATGCTTGGACCGCAAGCGTGTGTAACAGCGGTGTGAAGGGACACACCGTGGCTTTTTGAATTGCCCAGACAATGTGCCTAGCTTAGGACTTTCTGACTGTCTTCAAGTATTATGAACATATGGTCTTTGTTACTGTGCAAGTTGAGGTTGATTTTCACCAGAACCAATGTTTTCACATCATCATTTCTCAGTCATATGAGAGACTTTATTTGCTATGGAAACAAATATATGCTGGGCATGAGATGCTGACTCTGGGCCAGTTGGACTCAGTAGTTATTTCTGGGTATGTGTTAGGGCAGTAAGAGATAGTTGGCTCATATATTTGGTACTTTTTCCTGTGCTTTGTTGTGGTGTTCAGAGCTGTGCACAGCTCCTGCCCTGCCGGGGAGGGAGGAAGAGTGAAGGCAAGCAGGGAACGGCCTGTCACCCTGTGGGGTTTGTGTGCTGCCCTACTGCCAGCCCCGCACCCTCAGTGTGTGTGTGTGATGGCCTCTGGCAGTGCACAGGGGCAATGTTGGCATTAAGTAAAAATACGCTTTATGTGTCATATACTTGTTACTTAATCCTGGGGTGTTTTTGAGCTTTCATTGGCAAAATTTTGTTGGTCACAAGGCTTACTGTTTGCTTACATGAGACTGAGGCGTGTTTAAATACTTCTTGTCATCTTGGCATATTTTTGAAACTTCTATAAAATACTTTCCTAAATCCTCACTGGAATTTTTTGAAAATGCGTTTGCTGAAGTATTTGTTTTACACATGTCAATAATCACATTGTTCGATACTGAGTTTTTAAATAATCTTAATTTCCAATACATCTATTTTTATAGCACTTTTATGCTGGGTTTTGTAGTTGTTGTTATAATCAGAACATTCTTACACACGAGTAAATTTATGAAAATTAGTAATCCTGTTTTATTCAGTGAGGAGTATTCTTGTAGACAGATATTGCCCAAAATTGGCAGCTCCTCAAATGACTTACAAAAACTATATGAATGCAGGGCTTCCCTCAAATGTAATACCTTAAAAATTGTAAGCTTTAATTGGCACAGAAAGTTTGTCTTCCAATATTCAAGAGTATCTTTTACATTTTATAAATTACGTTCTCCCATTCCTAACTGCAACTGTGATAAATGTCTTTTGAGACTGTGTTATTCTAAGTAAGTCTTTAATTAAAATGCCATGTTTAGATGCTTCATATACATATGATATGAAATGTATGTAGTTCTTTAACAACTATTTCATTAGATATTGCTTTATTTATAGAAGTAATTGTTAGTATTCTGTAATAACCGTACTTTTTTTAGCAGGTCAGATTGTTTCCCCACAGTCTGCTCCAGCCTGTATTGAAAACAAAAATGATGTGAGCAGAGAAAACAGCACTGTTGACTTTAGCAAGGTAAGTGTTCACTGACGGTGAAGAGAGCTTCCTGACTACCAAATAGATCTTTTAATTTAAATAAAATGAATCCATGTGAATCAGGAAAAGCTGTGAAGTGCAAATTTTACTTCAGCGTTAAAGTTTTGTGTGCACTGCAACACAGTTTGTATATAACAGAAAAGAATTTTTCATTTTCTTGATAAATTACTGGTAACAGGAAAACACAGTTTAAGAACATAGATAAATTTATTGCGTGACAATATCATAGATGTATATTTGTAGAGGGAACTTCTACAAATTAACAGAAAATTATCTAAGTAGGAAAGTAATTCAGAATTCTTATAATTCAGATTTACCTCTCAGATTTTTACTTTTTGTAGAAGTAATGCATGAATGCAAACTACACTGCTTATATATATATAACCTGAACTCGTGGATTCCAGATGTCTCAAACAGAATGTGTTTCTGTAAACCTATAACTTAATTCTTCTGGCAAGCCAAGATATTTCAGTACACTTCACAAAAGATGTTAACTGTTCAGTAGTGGAGATTGCAGTGACAGTTCAATGTTAGATAGCAAAGAAAAGCAAATAGCTTTTCAGCTTTAATGTAAAGGAGAATCCTCATTTGTTTAAGAAGTCTGTCTGTACCTAAAACAAACTGTCACATTAGATACAGATGACAGACTGACAGGGATAGATGAGTTCAGCTGACACATTAATACAACAAAGGTTGAGTAAGTGAAGAAAGGTGATTTAAACCAAAATTCTGCAGAACAGCACTTTGAGTCTGTTGAATCTTAATGTTAGTGCAACTGAGCTAAAAGTAGAGTTATGTGATTGCTCCATCTGGTGCCAGACTTATTTCCTAGCAGCAGTAACTATTTGTATCATTTGAATTCTTGACTGAACGTGCCAGACTAGGAATGGTATATGGCTGAAATAAAGATGGGAAACAGATCTTTTTGTCAAAGACAGTGAGAAGAAAGGAGGCTGGCTGGGGATATATTATGGACCACATTTCTACAGAGGTAGCAAGGAGATCTAAAACAGTGATAAGTTAAAAATTTAATGCTAATACTTGAAAAATATTTAAAACTAAGATTATAATGCTTTAAAAAGTCAAGTATTATTTTGGTTTCCTGATATTTATATTAAAAGTGTTAACTAAAACTAATTGTTTTGGCAAGTGTTCTAATATCAAGATGTAAAATCTTGTAAAGGATATCAATTATAAATAAAGCTGTCTATTCAAAATTAAGCTGTGCAGAGGTGAAGCTCATAACAACCCAAAGGGAACGACATGACTTTCTTTAGTGCTTTTCTTGCACGTTTCCCCAGTTGCTTTGAGTGTTGCAGGATCAAAATCCCAGTCTGTTACCTAGCTGCATGATGTTTGTAGTAAACAAGAATGGAGGCTGCATCATTTGAACATTCACTCACTATTCTTGTAGTGCTGTAGCTTTGCTGATTGAAAGAGCTCTTCCTATTTAAACTGGCCTGAGAAGAGATCACATGTCATCTTTTGGCTAGCCTCAGCAGTGTTAGATACCAGCAAGCATGTCAGGAATATGAAAGGAACAACTTTTGTTTGCAGGAATGAAATAACAGTAAAGGATTGTAATCCAAATATGTTTTTGACTGCCTTTAGATAGATCCATTTATCCTTTTGAAGATGCATAAGTAAAGTACAATTTCCCCTTGAAATGTGCTATTGCAATAACTCCAAATGGTTATAATTGGAATTATATGCACAGATTGAGAGGAAAGTAGAGCAGTACACTGATTTTCTCTTGAGTATTGTGATTTCTTGCTCTAATTTTGTTCCACATATTAATTTCATTTATCTTCTACAAAAAAGCGCATTTGACTACCTCACATATTCTCTCCTTGCTAATCTATCTCCCTTGGTCTACTTCTAATATTCCAAATTTTGGAGTTGATTCAAAAAGCTGACTTAATCTGAATGCAGCACTGAGACTGATTGTATTGGTATCTATTTATGAATAATGTGAGACACGACACTAAAAGCTGTCTTGAATGTTACTTCAGTAGCACAGAGAGGGAGATGTAGTTTCTGATGTTTGTACTTGTAAATGTGTCACTCCTCTTCCTCTGGGGACACCACGAGGACTTTGTATTCCAGGAGTGATATGGAGGTGATCTGTCACAGCACCACTTTATCCTGTGTCTGAGCAGGATGGGGATGGCAGTTTAACAACTGCATCTGGTTGGTCTCTGCTTCTTATGCCAGAGGCTGAAGGGAACCCTAGTTGTCCTGAAATACGAAATGCATAAAGAGACTGCACCCGCATCCCTTCTCATGGCAACGTTCCTACACTCCACATGGAAACAGTATTTCTGAATCAAACTCCAGTCCCATACTGACAGAGTTTGGTCTTTCAAACACCGTGTGAAATAATTGACTTGTTTTTGAATACTGGTTGGCTCTGCTTATAAATAAATTTGATGAATCTGTGTCATGGCTTTCCTAAGAAGTGATGTTGGGTATTTTCTGTTTGTCTTCATGTCAATTTATGTTTGGTTCTGGGGGAGGCCCCCACCACTCTTTTCGGTCCTTGAGTTGCCCTGGAAGGGAATGGCCTCCACATTAGTTATTTAATTTTATGTTTAATCAGAGCTTACTGGGACTATTTAGTGCCAGGTCATGAATGTGGCTCAGGTTAGGGTGCAGATTAAGATGCACATGAAGTCTCTCCAGCTAAAGACCTCTTGGGATAAGAGATGTATAATGGATAGGTTAGATGAAGCATTCGAAGGATGTAGCTTCTACCATTGCCCCAAATTCACTCCAGGACCACGTCCGCACTCGTTATGTAGCGGAAGCAACACCTGGGGTTTGGATGCACTTGCCCAGTTTGATGCTTCTCTGCCAGCTACTTTCCTTTTAACTGTGGCTCTGTTCACTACCTAGAAGATCTTGGAATCTTAAGCTGATAAACAGTACAGGAAACATACCTGGAAATACTTTCTGGTAGACAGGAGGCTGAATGTTTCATTCAGATTTGAATATTGATCCTGTGATCTGTATCGTAGTGGGACCTTAAGGTGACAACTGTAGCATGTTGTACATGAGACATTAGTTATTAAATATTAAATCCATTCACAAGGTAAAATCGGTACAGAATGCACATTGCTATGTTCCTGAAAGACTACTTCCTTTCTCTCAACTATAAATGACCTACGACACCAAAACTAGGTGCAAGGTGAATCTGTTTGGGTTTTGTATTTAACCCTGAAGAGTTATTTTGTGACTTGAGTGGGGAATAGAATTTATCTCACGGATACTTTACCTTGAAAAAGTACTTGGTCTCCAACCTTCCAGGTTGATTTGATGCTCGTTTAACTTTGTGAGGTGTTTGGTCATCATTCTAGATTAGCTTAGGGTAGCATTAGACATCTCTTTGTGATCTCAGTGAAATAAGATTTCATTACACAGGCAACTGTGTTATATCTGAATTCTGATTTAGTGCCAGAGCCATTTGCAAGAAAACAATTTTCTAAATATTACCAAAAACTGTGCAAACTAGTACTGACAGATGGCTGTAAGATAGACATTAAAATGGTCCACTTTAACAGTTTATATTGGATTTGGTTGCTGTTGTTGTGTTTAGATTAATAAAAGGAAAGCAAATGACAAAATTCCTGCATTTTGAAATGTAGACAATACTGGTGCATAATGAAATCAAACATACATTATATACTCTATTACTCCGTGTCGATCTTTGTTACAGAGTAAACTCTAGACTGATACCGAGGAAATAAATACAAATGAACACATTCCTACGCAAATACCTTGAGCTTATGTAGCAACGTCATGATGAAGCTGTTTCTCTGTTTTTTCCTACCGTCCCTGCAAAAGTCAACATCACTGCCTTAAAACTCCAAAGTTTTTATTCTGCTTTGTTCTTTCAGTTTACTCTTGAGACAATCATGGTCATAGCTTATTTTCTGTTATTTTCAGCAGAAGGGAACTGTCTTCCGCTAAATCCGAAAACAAAAATACATCTCACTTAGAGTAGTAGAAGGAAAATTACGTGTAGTGGAACCTGTTCTTCTTCTCATTGAGATTATAATACAGCAACTATGAATTATGAATTCATGATTTCCAGAGTTGTTATTATGGAAAAATAAAGTGTCTTCATTTCTTCTACTGTTAGACTTATTGCTTCTGTTATGAATTATTGATGCTGTTATGATTATTGATAAAAAGAATTACTATGAAATTAATAATATATTCTTAACAAGATTTTGAATGTGATTTGTTGTCTTTATAAATTAATTCTGCAGTACTTTATGTTTCCAAGAAAAATTAGTCAAATAATGAAAGACCAGTTGTTTGGTTTTGAGAAACATTTTTATTTAAAATTATTCAACAGCCAAGAATAATAGAAACTGTATAATTGAAATAACTAAGATTATAGTGCAGTGACCGGAAAGTCTCTGTCAACAAATCAGGGGGAAAAAATCCTTGTGAATAGCTTTTAGGTTGTAATTTAATGTACTTTTCCCAGGTTGACCTACACTTCATGAAAAAAATACCACCTGGAGCTGAAGCATCAAACATCTTAGTTGGTGAACTAGAGTTCCTGGACCGTGCGGTTGTTGCTTTTGTTAGGTTATCTCCTGCAGTGCTGCTTACGGGACTAGCTGAAGTTCCGATTCCAACAAGGTAGAATTGGATTTATTTCTCTTCATGTTTTTCTGAGCACCTTGTGGAGACAGGGTGATGTGACCTTCAACTTTGTCATTTATTGAATTATGAATTTGGTTCTTTCTTTAACTTTCTTTAACAAAGATATCTCTTAGAGACATCTTCGTAGTCATCCTTTAAATGATGTATGGGTATATATGCAGAAACATGCTGTTTGTGTGTGCAGGCAATCATTCTTCGCAGAAGTAGAAATGATAGCTTGTTAGGTTACAACATGCAGTTTATCCTATAGAAACTAGTAATACTGCAGATGAAATACCAAGGTGAAATATTGAGCTCCTTAGAATATTTCATCTGGAATTGAAACTACTTGTGTGATACTGTGTAATTATCTCCAGAAAAAAAAAAAAGAAGAAGGAATTGAGTAAAGGGAAAAAACAAACTATGTGATTTGTTTGACTAGGGATAGCACATGGACGAAGAACATGCTGTAAATATCACGCTCCTCTAAAAGTTGCTTCGTAGATAGTTGCATGGTAGTGAATGTGACTTTTAACCATGAATTTTTATTAGATTAATTTTTTCTAAGTTGAAACTTTTTCTGATGAAGTACTTTGGTTCTGAGAACAAATTATGAGGAATTTTAAAAAAATGTCTAAAGTAGACTTTGTAGTCAAATAGAAAGCATTTAAATAGATCTGCAGATATATTGTTTCCTGCTGGGGTTGATTCAGATCAAAACTCCAAAGTGATTCTCCCATATCTGAGTTCACTCACTTAATTATTATTGCAGTCTCTCACTTTTTTTTGTACTTATTCATATGTTTGTACACATATTCTGTCTCTCTTTCCCCTTCCCTCTTTTAGTTTCTATAAAAGCAGAATTCTGACAAGAGCCAGTATTGTATTCCAGTTGTTTGTGACACTCAGGAGGGAGTGTTATACTATGAAGAAATGCAATGCTGAGACTCAGATCTTTGCTCCTAGTCAGATAAACAGTATAAAATTTTCTTTAAGTTGTATTTACTTTGGATATGACCTTTTTTGTCTTTTCTAATTTTTGCATGTATATAAGGAACATTGAGGGACTGAGCTGGCTTTAAAAAAAACTTCTGAAGCCCTTCCTCGTAACCTCCCCCAACTTCCCACAAAAAAAGCCACCAAAAGTAAAACAAAAGCTGTCTTGATTTTTGGCCAAAAGATTAAATAATTAAAAATTAGGATAATTAAGAATTTCTGCAAAATGTTTATTTAAAAAAAAAAAAAAAAGTTAGTCAAAAAATTGTCTTTTGCATTTTAGCAAAACTGAGAACTTCAGTTATTTCATTTGAATCTATCCTCTGCATTTTATAGAACCTTACTAGCCCCAAGCCTAGAGTAGAGGCTTTCTAGAGCCTTAATGGGAGTAAGAACGATTTAAAAATTATTTTTATTCGGGGTAATTTAACTTCCCCAATATTGCAATAATAGCACTACCATAAAATAGTTGATTCTGTTGAATTAACAGAATTAAATAAATTAATGTTAATGTGTTCTGTACATAGATTATAATTGCATATATTTATTATGTAAGATAAGGTTTGTTATGTAAGGAGGTTTTGATTGTCTCAGTCAAGTCTGACTGTGAAGCTTATGATATATTTTTGGAAGTTATTTTCACTTTTTTTCTAACCAGAGCTTCATGTTTAAATGCAAGTGTGAGGATCTTGAAGGAGATTATATATAATATTTGTCTTAGAGGTTCTTCTAGTTCAATTTTTAAGTAAGTATTTCTGTAGTATGTATACTTAATTTCAACCATCTATCCTTTACAATTTTTTTATTTATCTTTTATTTGCAGATTTTTGTTTATTCTTCTTGGACCACTGGGTAAAGGGCAACAATACCATGAGATTGGAAGATCAATTGCAACACTAATGACAGATGAGGTATTTTTATTCATGGCTTGGTTTTAGTCATTTTGTACTGACTGAAGAGGAGTAATAGGGAATCTCCAACGTGGGATCGTGCAGATGAAATGAGGCTAATCATACTGATGATGCACAAATAGCATTCTAGTTCATTTCATGATTCTGTAACAGCCCAGATTATGCTGCCATAAGGAGATAAGAAAATGAGAAACAATCACATGCAAGGATATCTTCACTGAGAAGATTGCATTTTACACAGTTACATTCCAGTGGTATTAATTGTGTTTTAAAACTGTAAGATCTCTAGAACATTTAGCGCCCATAAAGATGTTTTTCCATAGCAGCTGGAGCTTCTATGAAAACTATATACCAGAAACTCCAGTCAGTTGAAGCTGAGATTGATTGTTTGGTGGGAACTGCATAAAGCGCATTCTATTTCAGAGAAAAGGGGCCATCATGAAAAATGTTATGAGAGTATTCCTTTCTCCATCTCTTTTTCCTCCCACATATACGTCTCCATTTTTCACAGGTGTTCCATGATGTTGCTTACAAAGCAAAAGACCGCAATGACTTGGTGTCCGGAATTGATGAGTTTCTTGATCAGGTTACTGTTCTCCCTCCTGGAGAGTGGGACCCAACAATTCGAATAGAACCACCTAAAAATGTTCCCTCTCAGGTTTGTACACTGTAAAATTCAGATACTTTCAAACATTGTGATTAATTTTTGCTAGGTAGAATTAAGTCTCATTAATTTAGCATTTAGCAGAGTCACTATATAGGCATTTTGCATGCTTTTGTTTTTTTGGTTAATTTGCTTTAAGAGAACCCTTGTCTTGCGAGCATACAGTAGAGTGATGACATTTCATGTAGTTCAATACTAGTTCTCTTCTGAATAAAGATAGACAGTTGTATCTAAAGATCTTAAGTTCAGGGGTAATTGGTCATAAGCATCTTTGCTTATTCCGAACAGCCATGGTTTGCTTTTGTTCTAAGCTTATTGCAAGAATTGATCAAAGCTGCCTGGCTTGTTACTCTTTAAAATGTTTTCTGATACAAGATTTTCTGTGATCAATTCTTTATATTTCTTAGACCACAATTCCTTCTACTATTTCCTGTTATAGAACTCCTCTACAGCTTATGAAGAGGTTATGTTGATGAATCTTATAATAAAATTTGTATGTTTAGTCTTTCAACTCTCAGAGCCTGTTTCCTCTGCTAAAATTATGTTTTGGTTGCTAAGACCCATGGGAAGTATCTTTTCCTTCTGGTAGGAGAAGCGTAAGATCCCAGGAGTGCCAAATGGAACTGCAGCCCATGGGGACGCAGAACAACCTGGAGGACACTCTGGACCAGAACTGCAACGCACTGGAAAGTTAGTGAAAACATACACAACATCTTAAGTGTTCTAAGTGATGCACTTCCAAAGGAATCGTAATGGTCTGGTTCTCTCTCAAATGACTGGCTTGGCATATGATTTTTTTCAGGCATTTTTCCGGATTTGCATACCACATAGTTGAAAAGGACAATACATGCTAATTTGCAGAGAGAGGGAGAGGGCAAGAGGATCTGAGTTTTCACATTGTATTTATTGCAAGCTCCTTTCTCTGTTATAATTTATAAAGGTCAGACCTCTGTTAAACTTGATTAACATTTCTTATTTTTGTACAGCACGAAGGAAAAGTTGGGAATAGTCTTCTGCCATATATTATGAATGTTTACAACTATTTTGTAGTTGAAGTTTCTGGGTTGTGCAGCTTTAGCATTTCTTTTTTACCTCAGTAAGCCACGATATGTCCTGGTACACGAGGCTATGGTTACCATGCCTTTGTACCTATGGTACCATGTGATTGTGTGGCTGCAATATACACACATCGGAAGGAATAATTTGCCCCAAGGAATACTTACGTTCTCTCATCTAATATGGTATGGTGTAAGTGCATCAGCTGTAAGTGGCTGCCTTAGTGCAGTGTAGTTGTGCAATAGATTTTTCTTTTACTTTGCTGTCTCTTGATATTTAAATGTCATTCCTACCTGCGTAAGGCTAAAGATTCAGCTGCAGTGTTGGTGTACACAGTGGGGCAGAGATGATGACCAGTCTGGCTGTAAGCTGTTCTCTCACCGGTGAACTTGGTAATTGACAGCTTGAAGGATCGTTCTAGTGTTTAGGAGATGGTGCACTTCGTCTTCCTCTTCACCCCAGCAACATCTGATACATTGGGTGCCTGTGAGAAAAAGAGCATTGTGGGGATATTTACTTTAACTGTATGGTATATTGTAATGGAGCGTCTGTTCCTAAATATTTGATTATATTTAGCATAGCGTAAATGTCAAAAGATGACAGTTCTTGTCCTTGGAAAATTGTGGCCTACATTCAATTCTATCATCAAGTGTATTTAGGAACAGGTTCTCAAATAAAGAATGTGAAGCTTTGTATGTACACATGTGGGCAAATGGGCACTGCAGTAGCTCTTTGATTAAACAAATGCAAAGAATTATTTCACATCATAAATAATAGGGGTTTATGCGTGGGAGCTAACAACTATTCAGAAGTTTTGGGTCCGGATGATTAGATGAAGATTTTATAAAAGAACATGCAAATCAGTTTGTTTTAAAAACACAGTTTCCTGATTAAAGTTATCAAGACAGGGTTCCCAGAAACTTTTTTCTAGGAAGGATGAATTGTAAGAGTATGTATCCTTTGATCAAGGAACAATAGCTTTGCTGCAGTATATTAAAGCAATACTGTGGAAGAAAGTTTGGTATGCCTTTTTCATTAATTTGATTTCTTCTATTTTTTTTCAGATTTTTTGGAGGATTAATTTTAGATATAAAAAGAAAAGCTCCCTTCTTCTGGAGTGACTTCAGGGATGCTCTCAGTCTGCAGTGTCTGGCATCATTTTTGTTTCTCTACTGTGCTTGCATGTCTCCTGTCATCACATTTGGTGGTCTGCTGGGAGAAGCAACTGAAGGTCGTATAGTATGTGTTAAATCTGAACTTTTAAAATAAACTTACATTTCTAGGTTTGTGGTCAGCATTTTCTTACTGTTGCATGAATCACCTTTAAATATTGGTGTTTCAATGTTTAGAAGGCTACAGACTAAGACATTGCAAAAAGAACCTGTTTGAAAATTTATGGACGCTTCTCTCTGTATCATATTCAGAGTGCAATAGAATCGCTGTTTGGAGCATCCATGACTGGAATTGCCTACTCTCTCTTTGGTGGACAGCCTCTCACTATACTTGGCAGCACAGGACCAGTTTTAGTGTTTGAGAAGATCTTATTCAAATTTTGCAAGTAAGTGAAGATCATGATATGCATCATCCCTCGGGTGTTGTTAGGTAGAAGCAGACACACTGATCCCGAGGTTCCAACATCTACAGAATAAGATCAACAGTTTCTTTTGGAGTGGACTGCTTATGCTTTCAGAGTCTGAAAATTATGCAGTGACTGAGAATTGAATTGGTGGTAATGCAGAAAGGTTGATGGGGTTTTTTTATTGGTTTTTGTTTGTTTTTTAAAAAAAATGTTTTGAAGGGAATGCGAGCTTCAGGATGTTGTTTGTAGGGTTTTTTTTTTTTTGTATAATTTTCTACTCTGAAACTATACATTTAAATCTGTGGTTTATCTCATCCCTAACTCAAGCAAAGGGTGTTACCTCTCACCCAGGAAATAAGTGCAGTGGCAGTGGTGCCATCTTTCAATAGTCATTAATATAGACCCTGCCCTTCCTCCACCTGAACAGAAAAGGGGTGAAGCGTCATGCCAGAACAGCATATCCCCACACTTATCTTAATGTATTATACATGACATACCTCTGCCACAGTGTGGGTAAAAATTATGGCTGCATCTTGGCAACCATCATGCTTCTCTACAATCCCCTCTGCTCTTCTGCCTCATTGCTGTGATGGGGACTTCTGCACCAAGATCTCCTGAATCTCTGGAACAACATAGAGTAGGAGACCCCGCTTAACACCCCAAAAGCTCTTTCATCACCTTCAGGTAGACCTTTCAGTTCTATGTGATAATGTCACCCGATGCGTTTGGAGCTCTATTATCATATGCAATAAGCGTATCGGATTTTGATGAAAGTTGTTATTATAGCTACTCTTGCAGCTTAAGAAGAAATTGGCAGGTGTTGGCTGTTCACAAGGCAGGGTATGGGATAAAAAGTGGGTGGACTTTATACACTCCATGTGTGTGATTACTCTAAAAGCTGCTCGCTCACTTTGGTAGAGATAGAACTCTTTGTGTCCCGTTAATTGGGAGGAGAGCTCAGGTCAAGAGGTGACTTGACAGTATCTTCAGTTCACAATAGGTAAATAATTTCTGATTCAGACTGTCCCCAGAATCGCACATCCCTAGGCAAAGGAAATTTTGGAGCTGCCTCTTCTCCATTTACTGTGGCTAGACAAAGGATAAACTGTGTTTAATTTTTTTCTTTTTTTTAGAGAGTATGGGTTGTCGTACCTTTCTCTGAGAGCTAGCATTGGACTGTGGACTGCAATCCTGTGCATCATCCTTGTTGCAACTGATGCAAGCTCCCTAGTCTGCTACATTACCCGGTTTACTGAAGAAGCTTTTGCTTCTCTTATATGCATCATTTTCATTTATGAGGCCTTAGAGAAGCTGTTTCATCTCAGTGAGACATATCCAATCAACATGCATAATGATTTGGATCTGCTGACAAAGTACTCGTAAGTAAGACTTCTTCTGTTAACACTGGGGTTTTTTTTCGTTATGTTTTCTCTGTGAGGAACGCAAACCAGTGCACAGCAGGAAAAGTTCGCAGTAGTTGCGAACTTAACATGTGGAAGCTATTCAGTTAGGCATGATGCTGGCATATGGAAGTAGTAGTTACTGGAGGTGTGTGTACAAGCAGTACACATTTACTTAAGATAAGTAAAAAATATCTTGACTTGGGGTTTGGAAAAGCTTACACACACGTAACTTGGAAGTCCTAGAATAAAAAATAGGACTTGGAGGGACCTCAGCTTTAGGTCTTTATTCACATTTTTATTTAATGAGGTGTAACTCAATGATCTCTTACTATAACCCTGTACTGATGATTTGTAATATTTCATTGGGTGTTCAGGCAACATTTTTAGATCATATTTATCTGTTGTTTTTTTTTTTTCCAAATGGAAATATTGACCTATCTAAAAAGGATATAATTTGATGTACCTCCTTTATTTTAACCTCTCTGGCAATTAAGGTTCAAGCTCCAAGAACTGAAGGGGATTTGGAATTGTTAGGTGCTTCTCAGTGGTGATTGATTTAATCATAATTGATTTGTTCTTAATAACAAGATTTTTAATATGACTCCATTTAAGCAGCTTTACTTTATTGTGGAGTTTTGACAGGTAGTATTCTACTTGGGGAATAAAGAAGTGAATGGCTTTAATCAATATAGTTTCATTTAGAAGTAAAAACTCATAGACTTGTTTCTGTGACATGAGAACAAAAATGTTGTTGTAGTAAAGGACAAGATACTAGTCTGTCCTGAAGCCAATTAAGCCTGGTCACTTCAGCAACTAAAATGTCATTAAAAAGCATTTTCTGGAAGATCCCCCTCCAGAAATGTCTTTGTTATTTCACTGAACCCATTTGAAACCTCTGCATGAGCTGGGTGGGGCCCAAAAGGAACAATGCTTGAACAGTGCCACATCTTCTGTTCACTGGAAAAACAGGAGTGTCTCAACCAAATGTCTCATTTGTATTTTAAGCTGTGAAAAAACAAAACACAGCAACAGAGAAAATATTTGAGCTTTGTATATCACTAGAAAAATAGTTAGCAAATCCTGAATCTGAATGCTCATACCTTACTGCACAGAACAAGTTAAATTATAGAAACTAGTTCTGCTGTGACATATTCTCTCATGATGCTGAAAAAAATATTATTTCTCTCTAATAGTTTAATCAGTAGACAAAGGTATATTAATTTGAAGAGAAAGCAATAAACATCAAGAATATACCATGCATGCAGTTGAGGTTATATCCTGATCTTATTTAACTTCACTTAGCTTCTATGAACTTGGTATTTTACTCTAAAGAGCCTCATATAGCACAGTGTGTATGGATTTTTTTTTTTCTTTACCACTTTGAAGTAGTTGTCTCAAAGGGATTCTCATACGGTTTTGAAAAACAGATGTTGAAATACTACACAAAGACAAAAAATTATTCAGAAACCATTTAGCAGGTGGAGCTGAGATGTTAAAATATGTAATGAAAAGCATAAGCACAAATAGAAATAAGGATTCCTGGGTAGCTGAATCCCATGATATTGCTTGAGATTTCAGAGAAATAAGTTTAACAGTCTTGCTTGTATAGAGGTACAGTAATAGGTATCTCTATATTTTATGAAAGTGTTTTATCATCATAGTCCTTATGTTTACAAATAAATGTTTTTGGTTTTATTTAAAATTCCATTCATTAATCAGAATCCCAAATTGATTTTTGAAGGGTGTTGCTTACTTGCTGCCTGCCCTTGGTAACTGTCTTCATTGAATATAGAATGTGCGGAGCATGCAAAATGGTAGAAGAGCAGCAATTGTTGTCCTCCAATTACAGCTATAGACCTGTCCTGTCCTACAGTGTTGGAATACCAGCACAATCGTTTTAGATTTTCCAAACATAATTCCTGAAGGACAAGCGTCTTCCAGATGTTTGGAAGAAAGATTTGACCACTGACTGGTGGTTTCAAACACATATATAGCTATCAAAATTATTTGATATAATAGTTTTGCAGTTATTTATGGGGTCATCATTTCATACCTATATTCTCAGTTATTCTTTCACTCTGTGTAGATAGTACAAAGAACTTGACTTTTAAACTCTTGCATTACATTTCACTTTCGGCATTTATGTTGTATCTTCTACTTCAGCAATATCCTGTTCATTATCTATATCATGTCCATGGCAACTGACCCTACTAATACCAAAATGACTAGCTGTAGACATAGGTATAGGCAGCATAGCTCTTATGGGATGTGGCTTATATTTTTTTAACCTTAAAACTGATTGTTGGAAACGCCAGTATGCATATTGATTATCTTGTAAGAGCACATCTGCCGATTCCAAGGATCTGTGCTCTGAACACAGCAAAGTGGTAGTTCCAGCCTTTCTGTTCTCTCCCCTCTCTTCTCCTTCATCTGAGTTTTTCTTAGCTCTTCAGAACTGGCCCCGACAGGTTGGGAGAACGGAAAGATGTGCTCTGTTGGAGCAACTCTACATCAGCTGCCCAAACGACCAGTGCTTTCACAGCAGGCTTGGTGCAACCTTAACTCCATGGGTTTGCTGTGCAGATATGCACACACTATGTCCAGACACAGTGACCATTTGCCCAGAACATGAAGGTATCACAATTATCATACCCACAGGATCATCACAAGACAAGACATTTCAAATAACCCTCAGTCCCTGATCAAATGTCTGTACACGTCTCAGTTCCAGAAAGATCAGAAACTGGAAGATGAATAAGCATAAAAGCTTACTTGAAATTAAAATCTCATTTTTGTGTACTTGAAGTTGGGGAATATTGCTTTCAGAAGGAATTAGCAGCTTTTTCTGCAGCATCTGACTCCAGTCCTTCTGCTTGTAGTTTAAATGGGTAACAAACTTGAGCTGAAACTAGTTCTGTCCTTAAAGGACCAGCATACTCTGTTACAGAAGCTAATTAGTATCTGCTGTTTTGCTAATTAAAACAGCTGTTTGCATTTTCCTCTTTGGGGATTTTAAAGACAAGTTTTTAATTGTTAGAAAAGCCTTGGCAGTTCTTTAATTAGCAATGGGTGAACTTCAAAAGGTTGAGCAAATCATTTCTCTTTGAATGCTCAGCCAAAGCTTATGTAAAAGTTTATCTTGGATGTGCAATTCTGTGCTAGAAAACTCGGGTTATACTGTAAAATTTCTGTGTTTTCTGTATTCTGCCTCTTGCCCACTCAAAAAGTTGATGATAAATAGGTCAGGACACTATATATTTGAAGTGTTCAGTGTATGTTGTGGCTCAGCCCTCCTTTCTTCTCCCATGAGCTTTCCTAGGATGCTCTGATGTCCACAGGTAGTCTGTCTACATCCCAATACTGTTGCCTTTGCCCTGGTAAAGACATGAGTTTGACCCAGGAAGAGTCATTGGCATGCTGTTAGTACTGTCCTTTGGAATACTAGAAAGACAAAGAAAATAGTAATTTAAAATAGTTGGTATTTCAACCAGATTGGAACCATATTTCAAGTGAGAAAGAAAACCCATTCTGTATTTTGGGTGGGTTTGAATTCTGTCATAAACAGTCTCTGTTGCAGGATTTTGATGTAAAAGACTGTACTGCATGCATCTCCTCTTATATATAAGAGCATAGGAGTCATTACTAGTAGCTGCCATAACAAACCTTAGAAGACTATAGAAAGAACATTCAGAACAGTTGGGATTTTTTTTTTTAAAAATCAAGCAGACTCAAATATTTGAAAACCAGCTGAAAGTCCTAAAAGATTTCTTAAAAATTCGTATTTACCATTTTACCATTTTAGGTAGAAGATATGAGTTTGAGTTTGTTTCAGAATTCTATCTCAAAAAGACAAAAATATCTTTTGTTGCATGATCTAATTAATGTAGAACTAGTCCTAATGCACTTTTTACTCGTTTTCTTTTTTATACTTGTTCGTTACTCTGTGTTGAAATATTGGCCCTAATTGTCAGGTGATCTACTTGCAGGCAAATCCATTCAGCATTCATATGTAAGTTGGTCTTAAAACACCATCTTTACGATATGGGCGATAAAGAATAAGGCATTTAAGAGCTAAATCAAAAGAAGGACAAATACAGCCTGATTTTCAGTGTGCTACTGTGCTGCAATTTTTTTCTTTTTCAACTGTATTGTTTTGAAGGAATTTAAATACAGTAGATTCATTGTTTATTAAATGAAATAAACATACTTCTTCATCTGGGCTTTTCCTTCTTTCCTTCTTTCTTTCTTTCTTTTTTTTTTTTCTTTTTTTTACTGTGACCTTTTTGTGTTTGTCATGCCATTAGCATTTGTAGGTTGGCATAGCAACTCTCTTATTTCTGCACTCTCCTCCTCCTGCTTTTTCCTACCCCTATAGCAAATATATCTCCAGTTAGTGAATCCTGTCTGGAACACTGATGCACATCAGTTTTAATGTTTATATTAAATATGAGGATATAATTTTTGCTAGGAAAGGAGAACCCTACAACTGGGTGGGTTAAAAACAGAGATTCTCAAAAGGAAAACAAAATAAGCATTGTGGATGAAAGGAACGTGATTTAGAAAGCAATCCAGTATTCTTTAAAATGCAAACATTTTAAGATAGTTATCTCAGAATACAGAAGCTCAATTATTTCTCAGTATGAGGTTGCTTAGATCTTGGGATTTTATATACCTTTTGTTTTTTATTAATTCTTTTTTCAGAGTGATGAATTCATGTTGTTTTTAATAATCCTTTACCAGAAGTTACTCAATTATTAACAGATTACATTGAATAATTTTAAAGTGATTTCTTGGCATAGTAATATGCATATTGCAATCTGTCTTGGTATTGACATGCACTTAAGCATTAGGAGTAGAAAATCCCACTCTGATGTAATTAAGGAGCCAAGATCATGTCAATCTCAGTATCTTTTGCAGGCTATAGAAACCATTGCTTCTAGAAGGTATTGTGAAGATTAGTTTTGTGCACACCACTG